GTAATAATAATAATTCATTGACTTAGTCATAATGTATATTAGTACCTATGCTTTAGAGTCCCTATAAACCTTTAAAGTTTCCTCTTTCTTTCCTTTCTTCCTTTCCCTGATTATAAATTATTGTATGCTTCATCAATAGGCATGTATTGGTGTTTTTCCAAGTTCAAAGAAATCAATGATAAAGGGACCAGTAAAAGTATTGAACTAAAACTAACCTTTGACCTATCTTACTATGGCGACTATAAGGAAACATGGCTTGCTCTTGGTATGTTGTACAATTTAATCATCATTGCGCATGTTTGTGAAAACTTTGACTCAACAAAACTAGCACTTGAAAGTCAATTTTTATGCTTGAATAAGGTACTCAAAATATACTGGAATTTTGTGCTGAAAATGTATCCCAAACCCTGTTATGGTTACTAATGGTTGTGATGGCCTAGCATGGTTTTATTGTGAATGATATCTGATGAATCTCTGTTTATGGCAGGTATTCTTCTCACTATTCTTCTTGTCATTGTGTTGCTGATTGTGTTGGTATTGTGCAGTCGCATTAAAATTGCAGTCGAGATGATCAGTGAAGCCAGCAAGTAAGCATAATTAATTTTGTATGATAAAAGCATTTTATTACGAAATGCTACTTAAAGTTTATAGAATATATTGCTTACTGTCTTTTGCTGATATAATAAAGTGTCAATAACTATACTTAATGATAAGTAAGTAATAATATTGATTGATTCTTTGATTTCTAGGGCACTGGCTTCCATGCTATCAACTCTGTTCTTTCCATTGGTCCCTTGGCTTTTGCAACTGRTTTTGTTCTTCTGGTTTGTCATTGTTCTTCTGTATCCTTTGACTTGATTGACATTTGACTTGTAACTTTGTTCATTGACGTTGTCTTTTTGTGAAAACCTATAAATCCTTTCTTCAGGCATATTTTATTAATCCATTCATTTATTTATTTATTTATTACTTTTCTCATTTCTTTCCCCATCCATTCATTCATTCATCCATCCCTTTTCTCATTTCTTATCCCATTCATTCATTCATCCCTCTATCCATCCATTCACTTCTCTATGTGCTCATTCTCACAAACATCCAAAAGATGCTTCTTAACCCTAAAATCCAAAGGTTTCTTGCTACRAATGGTACACCAAACTACAACATTGTTGATGTCCCTAAAAATGACCTGTATAATCTGACCAATGGAAGCACTTGTGATCCAATGGTAAGTGTGCATGAGCTTGCTGTGGATGTTTCCTTTGTTGTGAAACCCACTGTAGAACGTGCTGTTAATAGCCTTGTCCCACAAAGGGTTTGCTTCTAGTATATCCTATGAATTACAAATTTGATTTAAGTGTAAAGGTTCTTGAATATACATTAATTGGACTCCAATTTTTTGTCATTTTTTAATCATCCCAGACATTTGAGAGCAAGTACAAAAACACAACTGCCAGCTGTATCCTAATGGGATACAAGGAAAATGTGTAAGTTATGCTCAAAAATTCTTGTTAATTACTGGAGGGTTTTGGGCAGATTCTTATTGTTTAGATTGAATTAAACTTATGTATTGAACTCCACATTTATCATCATCATCATAAGTCCTCCCGCCAGTAGGCACATAATGCCTTCACCCCCCTCTTTCTTTGAACTCCACATTAACTGCTAGTTTATTTCATGTTTAGGCATCTTTTCCGTATGCAAATTTTCCATTTCTTTGGTTGGTTGTGGATCATGAATTTCATCATTGCCTTAGGGCAGTGTGTCCTGGCAGGGGCCTTTGCATCTTGGTACTTCGCCTTCCATAAACCTGATGTATGCTTTGTTTATTATTACTACAATAATAATTAATTACATTAATAATGGCTAATGATATTACTACAATAATAATTGATTACATTAATAATGGCTAATGATATTACTACAATAATAATTAATTACATTAATAATGGCTAATGATATTACTACAATAATAATTAATTACATTAATAATGGCTAATGATATTACTACAATAATAATTAATTACATTAATAATGGCTAATGATATTACTACAATAATAATTAATTACATTAATAATGGCTAATGATATTATCAGCAATGATATTAGTATAGTTCTTTTACTATAACAAAGTTTTCTAATTAATTAAGGGAAATTTTTTTCCCATAATTTTTCTATGGTTTGATTAGTGGAATTTTGTCTAATTTCTTACAAAATGTTTCACAGATATTATGGATACTCTCTTGTAGATAATGTCTTATTGCTGCAAATGTTAGGATTAATTTTTATTCGTTGTAATGAATTTTTTTTGAACTCATTAAATGATAAATATAAAGGTGTTGGCTGATTGGACTAAGATTTAAAAGCAAATAAAATAAATATGCATTGATATTTCAGGATGTTCCAACTCTTCCCGTGTTGTCGTCCCTTTGGCGAACTCTCAGGTATACATTGAATACACAACAGTATCTTTGACAAGCACCAATTGATATCAGATGTAAATTTATTATTTTAGATACCATACAGGCTCGCTAGCATTTGGTGCTGCTATTATAGCCATTGTGCAATTGATCAGAGCAATACTAGAGTACATTGACCACAAGCTGAAAGGTAAGGAATATGATTACACCAACAATAACGATAACTATGTTTAAGTTCAATTTGCTGAGTTCAAATCTCATAGAGTATCATCTCTTCAAGATGCATGAGTAGTGATCATTTTTTTAAAATACATTTTTAATCTACTCTGACTAGTTTTTAAGGTAACTGCAGGTTAAGAAGACATTATATTATACTTAGTATAATAATAAATAAATGGAATTGTGCAATATTATAATTTAATTCATCATATTATATTGCGCACTGTTTTTAGAATATGGTCAAGACAACAAGGCAGTCAAGTTCATTCTATGGTAAAAAAAATCTTAATTCATCATTTCATTGTTCTATTAATATTATTAATAATTCATTAATATTATTTAATGTTGGTCATGATTTAGCTGCTGTAAGTGCTGCTTCTGGTGCTTGGAGAAGTGTTTGAAATTTTTGAACAAGAATGCGTACATTATGGTAAGATCAAGGAAAATCAATATTTAAAAATCGATAATTTAATGATTTATTTGATTGTTTTTTTTTTTGTTTTTTTTTTGTTTTTTGTTTTTTTTTAATGAAATTAATGCCTTTATTAGATAATATAAACAGTTATTTGATTGTTATCTTAATTTCTAGATTGCCATTTATGGTAGAAACTTCTGCACATCTGCCAAAGATGCCTTCCAACTTCTTCTAAGAAATGTCCTGAGGTAAAAAAAGTGACAGTCGTAAAGACGAGTCAGATTTCTTTGTTGTTGCAATGGACAGACTTTGCATTGATATCGTGATTGATATATTGTTTGATTGGATATATTTCACTAGGGTGGCTGCAATCAACAGTGTCACCACGTTCCTGTTGTTCCTTGGAAAAATCTTTGTGACTGGCTTAGTTGGTACGTGTTGTTAACTKTGTTATTTTCAATTGATTGCAGTCTAGTTTGTCATTTATTTGTCTGTCTGTCTGACAGCATGTRTGTGMGTCTGTCTGTCTTCCATTCATCTATTTGTTCATCCAGTATGATTGCCTTGTTTTTAAAGGTGTTGGAAGCTACTTTTGGTTCCGTCAAATCAAAGCTGATGACCCTGTCTCGCTGAACTACGATGTTGTTCCAGTTGTTGTAAGAAGAAATTTTATTGCATTTATAYGATGTATTTATATTATCTGCATCCCAACCCCTGATCCATGTAAATAGTGCCCCACCTTCTCCTCCCTCATTCCTTTAGGATTATTAGGTGCAACTTTGTCATGATTGTACTCTAACTTGTTGGTAYGACCACTTGCCAAATAAATCATTGCAAACAACTAATTGGTGAAGTATGGATTTAGTTCTAATTCTAAAAAGTTGACCATTTTGTTTGTTGTTTAAGATCACAGTGATTTTTGCCTACATTGTGTCTGTCCTTTTCTTTGATGTTTACGACATGGCTATTGATACCATCTTTCTTTGCTTCTGTAAGTATTTAGTAACTTTTAAACTATATTGACAGCCTAAACTATTAATGACCAGTTCTTTTTCTATTAGCAAGCATTAAACTAGCTATTTGAGGTTTCATATTCAAKAAATGCTCTTCAATTTTCAGTGGAAGATCTTGAGCGCAAYGATGGCAGTGCTGAGAAACCCTACTACATGAGCAAATCACTACAAAAACTGCTGAACAAAGAGAACAGGGGCTCAAAGGACAATATTGACGCTGGAAGTGATGGTGGAGAGAAATAAGTGACATCCACACACCTAAATATGTTTCTAACAGTGTAGATCTCTTGCACTTGACATCAAAGCAGCTTTAACTGTGGGACAAAAGATGTTTGCTCTCTTAGAAGTGTGTGGAATTTAATGCTTTGTCCTGCAGTGGGAGCTGCTATCCTGCCCAGTGCTAGTGGTCTATAGTATTGATAATCAACACTTTATAAGTAACTGGAATTACTCCTCTCACGCATTCGCAACAGGGTGCTAGATACCCTGTAAGTCACGCTATAAATACTCGTAGAGTCTCATTAGAGAATAGCAGTTCTTGCAGTATTTTATCCTACATAGGTCAGATGAAAAATCATGCTTAGCTTTAATTGAGAAATAAAAAGACTTGTTGGACTTGACCCAACACTGAAAAAAATCTGTTGCTTTAAGAAGAAGAATTTTTTGTAATAAATAGGTAACGAAAAGTTCTTGATTTTTTTTGTATTGTGATGGGCCCAGATCATCATTCATGGCAAAAATGTTCAAATGTAACTTAATCATGTGATAAATAATATAAATTAATATAAACAGCTGCTCTATTTTTTGCTATTGGCTAGCAGGATTGACTTATTTACTTGGTGAGCAGCCTGGTTACAAGTGAATGTCTCATCAAATTGATATCTGGCATGTCAGCAGGGCTAACAACTAAAGATAATTTATAATTTTTTGATGTACTTTTCTTAAAAAAACTGGGAAATTTCATTCTGTGAAAGATTCCTGAAGAGTTGAAAGCCCTGCTTTTGTAAGGCCTGACTACTATTTAATTATTAGCAAACACATGTATGAATGTCATGAAATTCAATATTGAAATAAACAGTTAATGTCTAATACTTGTTTTGTGAACAGTAATCAAGAAGGGCCGTATCCAGCAAAAAAAATGGTGGGATTTTGGTGGGAATTTGCCTTTGTTTTATCATCTCAAAAGTACGAAATGATAAATAAAATAACAGTCAAATGTGCAAATAGTATTGAGAGTTATCATATTTTTCAATGTTKTCTGGTTGACTTTTTTAAGTTTACTTTTAATTTTTGTTCAACAAAAGAGGGGGCACAGCCCTTTCTTTCTCCCCCCCGAATCAGTCCCTTTTAAGAGTCGGGCAATGAAGACAATGCTAGCAAGTTCTTTTATTTGGCACAAGTTATGTAATCACAACTAAGAATCTTATTGGCTAATGATGATGTGAAGGGTCTGACTGGTCATATGATCACAACAAAGCATATTATTGGCCAGGGGTCATGTGATCACAACAAACAATCTTATTGGCCAGAAGCCATAATCTTTGACATCTTGATTGGAAGTAGCATAGCCATGTCCCGTGAGATCTGCAACTCATCCTGGAAGGCGTCTTGTGGCATATCTGGATGAGTGTCACAATAATTWACAATATAATTATACAAGTCCACACTCTTCTTCAAGTATTCAAGTTTAACTTTAGTCTCWGCAACAARATATTTAGAGTACAATCTTGCAATACAAAAGTGCGAGACAAGGGCTGGTCGCACAATGTCATKGTCATAAGTCTCTGGAAGAGAWCCCTTGTGTTTCATAGAGTCTATGAAAGTTTGAAAGAACTTTATTGCTTGGTTTATAAGATGGTTAACTTTCTTGATGGCATGAGAACTAGCTGGAGTATCACTGTTTTCATTCATGATAGCAATCTTTAAATCAACCATCTCACTGTGGGCCTCGGCTGATTCAAACATAAGCTGTCGACAAATTTGAAGATAGTGCTGAGGGTTCAGTTCACAGAGAATGTCAGAGAGGATGTCCACCCGTCGCTTTTGCATTTTACATTTRCGATCCTTGTCATCTTCAAAGAAAGCAACATATTTGAAGAGCTGACTGACATCTTGTTGAATTTGAACATAGTCGCTGACATGGCCATCAAGGATGTAGTACTCTTTTGCTTGGTTGAGCCATTTTTGAGCTTCACGGAAGATACAACGAGCCTAGAAAGATTAAACACAGAATTATGGCAAGGCTCAGCTTAGACAAAAGTTTATACTATAAGATAAACCTATTGAAGGTTTCAAAATTGAGACAATACAATGATTAATGGTTGGATTAATTGAATATGTACCTCGTCAAAGTTTTTGATGATTTGATCAGGAACTGATTGTTCATAGCAAGTTGTTTCCAGAGATGTGAACCGCAGTGGGTTTTTGTCTTCRCTCTCTTCTTGGTTGCTTGAGCCTGAAGCTTCTAAAAAGGTGAGCTTATTTAAGTTGATTGATCAGATTTACACAATTTTAATAACTGAAAATAAACCAAGATGCTAAAATGTTACCTAAAAAAGAGATGTTAGCAATAAGAAAGGGTAACAGCTTAAGTGGTCTTCTTTAAATTTATTAATTAGTAATCAAAT